GGCTCCCCGCTCAGCGGGGAGCCCGATGTGGGACTCGATCCCGGGACTCCAGGATCATGACCTGAGCCGAAGGCAGTCGCTTAACCAACTGAGCCACCCAGGCGCCCTGAATATATTTTAAAGAGAAAGCAGGAAACAAAATAATTTTTCTTTGTACTAACACCCCATAAGATTTATATATTAATTTTATAACCTCAATAAAAAAATCAGTTGCAACTGAGACAACAGGCTTACAATATATGTTAAAGAAATTATCTCAAAGATAACTGGTGTAAAGCTTAACTGTTAATTTACACACACACACACACACACACACACACACACATATATTTTTTGAGAGAGAGAGAGAGAGGGAGAAAGAGTGCGTGAGCAGGGCAGGGAGGGGCAGAGGGAGAGGGAGAGAGAATCTTAGGCAGACTCCTTGCTGAGTGCAGACGGCCCCTTGGGGCTGGATCTCACGACCCTGAGATCACAACCTGAGCAGAAACCAAGAGTAAGATGCTCTACCGACTGTGCCATCCAGATGCCCTTAATTCTTAGTATATTTTTGATCAAATTTCAAACAGAAAGAGCATGCCATCATATATGACTATTCCTGAAATATCAAAGTATTTTGAGTAACTGACTCAAAAATCAATTTCTGCTAATTTTGTTTACTTTTTCACATAAGACGCTTTTATCTATACACTTTGCTTTATATTTTTATTTTTGAGAGATTCTCTGCAACCTCTCTTGAAATGTTGGCACATTATCCACATTAATTTTTTTTTCAAGGCTTATATACAAGATGAGTGATTCTTGAATTATAAATTCCGTTAGTGTGTTTTGGCAGATTATGTCTTATCTTAAAAATTACTATTCTCTCAATAGTCATTTGTTTAAATTCATAGCAACTAAGGGGTGTGTGGTAAAAGACACTGATCATTAGAGCATTTGTTTAAAACAATTTGTTTTAAAAAATCCAGGAAAGGGGTGCCTGAGTGACTCAGTCGGGTAAGCGTCCACTCTTGATTTCGGCTCAGGTCATGATCTCAGGGTGTGAGAATCAAGCCCCACCTCGGGCTTGTGCTAGGCCTGGAGCCTGCTTAAGATTCTCTCTCTCTCTCTCCCTCTCCCTCTGATCCTACCCCCAAAAATTCAAGAAAAGCATGCATAATTTTTATGTTTGATTTAATAGATGTTTAAACATGTCTCATCTATTTCAGTTCTGTATTACCAGAATAAATTGCAACTTCACAACATTGTACTACCACCAGATGATGCCTTATTGTACTCTATAAATCCGTGGTCTGAAAAGGAAGTATTTAGTATCTTTGGAGAAATGTACCACAAAATCCATTGTAAAACTGAATCTTCAACATGTGGCTAAATTGCTTTAGATTCCTGACCTTATTAGTTTTTTTCCACAGGCTTATTTTGTTTTTGTTTGTTTGCATGTTGTAGGTGAATCCGATCTTCATAAGAACTCAGAAGATGTAGTAAACACTGAAGAAAAACATGCGGATACACATTCATAGGTTTGAAATACCTTAAAGGCTTCTGTCAGTTTAAACATGAGAGGTAACTTTATTTTTTAGACAAGAAACCTAATTTCTGAAATGAATGGTTTGTAGAATATCATTAGAGACAAAGTTATCTCATTTCATTGTCCTCCTGGAATCTTTTTAAAAAATCTCTATTTTCTGAAGCAAAATCTTACATATTTACTTTTTCAAAGAGCTTAATTTGCTCATCAATAAAACATATACTTAGTGAGACATTTTAGTCCTTTAAAAATAATAATCTGTAGGCTATGGAGAGGTTTAATCCTGATCTCTCTTTCTACTTCATGGAGGAAATACAAATGTTTACATTGGATAATAACAAAGCAAGTACATATTATGAAACAAACATCAATGTTTGTTAAAATCTATAGACGTTTGCATCAATTGTTCTCTTTTTAAAAATTCAGCTTCTAGGGCTTGCCCTCGATCCACCAAATTATTAACTCTGGGAATGAAGCCTTGGAAATTGGAATTTTTAATAATCCTGTCTGTGGTATTTTCTGTACCCTATAGTTGAGAACCATTGTCTTGGGCCTACAGGGGAAGTGCAAGCTACTGGAAGGGAAGGGTGTGTATTTATAGTGGAGATGTCTTAGTGTCTCCTTAAAAAGAAAGAAAGAAAACTCACATGTTATAATGAGTCCTGCTTTTGGGGTGATGATGGGGACAAGAGAAAATGCTGAGGGGACCATAGACAAAGTCTTTTGAGATGTTATTGGTAGCTCCTCACATATTGCTTTAGATACAAAAGAGTTAAACTGTGACTGGCTTTTCAGATGATACATCTTGCAGTATTCTTGAGTTGGTTGTAAGACTGTCTTTTATTGATAATAGTAGTTTCATTAATGGTTACTCTCAAGTGTCAGGCCCTGTGGTGAGCATCTTACATGTATTAATCTCACTTAGTCCTCTCAACAATTTCAGAATTGGTGATTGTGATTCCTATTTTACATATGAACCTTGGGTAGAAATCAAGCCAGCAGAGTGGCTGTGCAGCAACTAAAACCCATACCCTCCACCCAGACTATAAATTTATTACCTTTGGAGCTCATGGCTGTTTCAGAGGAGTTGGTTCTGATGATATATGATGGACCCTCCAGGTATATTTTAGGGAAAACTAAATTCAGTGGAGTATTTATAGATGTTTTCAGTACAAAAAGTTTTTGTTTTTTGTTTTGTGGGATGTTTTTTTGTTTTGTTTTGTTTTTTGGTCAAATAAATACCATTAGGACATGGAGTTAATCAAAATTAAGCAAGAGTCTTTCCTACTGGATGTCATCAATCCAGTGCACATTATGAAGCTTCAAAAGAAAAGTCTTTTTTTTTTAAGATTTTATTTATTTGACAGAGAGAGCACAAGCAGAGGGAGAGAGAGGGAGAAGCAGGCTCCCTGCTGAGCAAGGAGCCTGATGTGGGACTCGATCCCAGGACCCTGGGATCATGACCCGGGCCGAAGGCAGTCGCTTAACCGACTGAGCCACCCAGGCGTCCCGAAAAAAGTCTACAAGAAGCTTTTCTTATGCATTTGTGATATGGAACTGGAATACTTAGGAACATTTTCCAAAAATTGTGTGCAGGGAACACAGGTCACCAGTACATTGGTAAAAATGACTGTCCAATCTATGAAGTTGCCTAAGGCAAAAAATATACATATCTATAAAATTCTGGCATCTCATCAGTAAAAGGTTTCGGTGGGATTCAACTGGCAGTTAATGAAGCCTCTTTTTTCTTTTTTTCAAATAAAAAACCCCGAAGTTGGAAGGATTTGAGACCCACTCAAACAGTGGTGTTCAAACTCAAGCAGGCTGTTAGACAATTTTTCTTTCCATCAGCACTAACCAAATCCGGTAGTTTACTTCTCAATTTGAGAAAGCTCTGCCTTCAGTGCACAGTCTTCCAGAAATCATGGCCTTTAGTAGGTGAAATTTATATGCCTTCAAGAAATAGGCAGATCTCTTAAATATGGGAAGTAGAAAACCAACAGGAGTGGGGACAATTGGTTACTTGTGACTCAGGCCCAGTATCTGGGAGAAGAGAGCAGTGGTCAGCCTTGGAAACAGAAAGGACACAAGTGCATCCGACCCGAAGGTGGCAGCCAGCCACTCTTTGTCTCCAACAAATTTTCACCATGTACAAATTAGGGACCCGTGTTTCCAGGTGTTTCCATTGGCTAAGAGATTTTTTTTTATGGAAAATCTTTCCATTTTTAATGTTGGCTCAAAGGTTTTTGAAACCCTGTGTAGACCAAACAAAATACATGTGAAGGTCAGATTTTGCCTACAGGCTCCCAGGTATTACCCACACCTTTATGACCTGCAGCTAATTCTTTCACTGGCCTCCATCATGGAAAGTATAGATTTTATGGCAGCCTGGCCATATCTCTGAGAGCCATTGCCTACTTCATTCTCAGTGTGTGGGCCCCAGTATGGGATATTTTCTCAGGAAACACTGAAGTCTAATTCAACATGCACCATGATGAAACCTCATCAATCAATGTGCAACACTATACTTAGGGCAAGAAATCAACCTTTGAATCTACTTTTCACATTGCTGTATAACTTCACTATTAATTCTAAGACATTTCTGTCCACAGAACTATTTTGTTTTGATTACTTTTTCAAAATGTTTTTGTTAATTAGAGTGAATGCGATTGGAACTGGATATACAATGCCATGCTGCTTTATTATTTAAAAAGAGGCTGGAATGTAATTTATTATATTGTCTTCCCTGAAGGATATACCAGAGATTTCTGGTGCTCCAAGAGCAAACCATTATCAGACCTGGTACTCCCTGGTGGGGGAAGTGTTCTCCGTTCCTACCAATGCCTGCTCTTTAGTGTTGAGTATACCGTCTAAGAAGAGGTCAAAGCCTGATGGATTGTGGGCTGGATTTAGTCTGTGCATTTGCTTGGTTGACTCCCACATTGATTTAAAATTGTTTTAAATATCTTTAAACAGGACTTAATGCTCTTGAGTTCACTACAGTCCTTGTGACTCACACAGGCCCACTTACCTCATTTATACTGTCTTCTAGGCTTGTATAGTTCCTTGAGTTTGTGACCTCTGATCCAAACAATCCAAATTTTTACTGGAATTGAAATATACAAACATACATGCACATGCACATACACACACAGAGAAGAAATAAGATAGAAAACCAATTATCTATTATATGCTGATAAATCCCTCATTTCTGACAAGGTTTATAAAGTCCCATGTGATACTACCACACAGTAATTGATGCATGTATATGACTAAAACTTGATCTTCATTTTCATTTGGATTTTATTTCAGGATAATGAGAACAGGACTAAAACATCCTAAATCCTCAACTTTCTACAACGTTATGTTCTCCTTTTTCAACACACACCTGGATCAGGCCATTTTAATGGACTTCTAGAAGGAACTTATACTAAGAAGAACATAAATTCTGAGCCAGTAACTCCGGCCAAACACATTCAAAATTGCCATCAAGAGTTTCTGGCCAGTGTTTCTGCCATTGTCTTTCCTCCAAAAAACAGTCTTGGAGGAAATGTTTTGATTGTTTTGATCCAGCTTTTTCCAGCAAGTCTGAGAAATTTTTAAGACAAAAGGTGGATAGTTTAAAATTTTCAACACTCTGAACCCAGTTATAGCACGGGTGACCTTGCGACACTTGGGCAAAAGATGAAGCATTTTAAAAATTTTCTTTCTTGTATTGTTTTATGCAGACTTCTATAGTTACCAATATTGCAAGGTTTTAAGTAAAAGGAAAGCAAAGCAAAATATGGAAAACAATTTTTTTGCAGCTCTGAAGAACGGGGTATTTAGATTGTCCTTATTTTAAATACACGGAAGCAACATGAGAGGTCAGGCTGTTCAGAAGCTGTGGTTGAAGTCCTGTGACAACAGTGGAGCTTTAGCCTGGCTCTGTGACCCGATGACCATTGTAACTCTCAAGCTGGGCATCCACAGTGAAACCCATCCCTGAAACCAGCGGACCACCTTGCATCCATCCCTGTGGTTTCAAAGCGCGAAAACGTCACCCATATGGGGGTCATCACAATGCAAGTCACACGTTACCTACACTCCAGGATGACAAGAACCTTCAGCCATTGTTGGAGACAGGTGTTGTTAGAACTGAGAATGGAATTTGCCTTCTGGGGTGTTGATCCCACTAGGACGTAACAAAATATATTACAGGCCCAGGGATAAGTGACAAGAAGTGTGTGTGTGTATTGAAAAATATCTATGAAAATGGAAACCCACACTTTTCTGTACAGATAATATTATTTGGCGTGACTTTTTGATTCTACTACACAGAAACAGACTGCAGCTCTTGGAAACTCAGCTTGCTTGCCATGTTTTGCCTGAGCATGTGCAGAGCCTTTCCTTTGCTCCAAACTGAAGAACAACTTTTGTTAGTTATTAGCTGACAAGAAAGGTCAAGCACAGTTAGGGGCTGTAACTTTTCACTGTACAAACACTTCAGTGATTCTGAGATGAATCTATCTTTGTGAAAGGTAGAAGCTGGATGGAAAAAATCAAAAGTAGCCATCAATGAAAGAACAGAGTGAAGGAGAATCCACCCATACTATCCGTTTTCTGTTGTACCTGCTTTTTTCTTGGGTTCCACAATGCTAAGCAATATTTTAAAAATTGATATAATCAGAAGCTTTTAAGTCTGAGTGATGGGATTTTAGAACCCACAACTTAGATCTCCTTTAATGTGTAAGCCATATTCTATATGCATATTAGGTATGCATTGTTCTAATTTAAGATATATTTGTGCATAGACTGTGTATAAAATGCTTTTAAATGTTCTGTGAATAAGGTCCTTAGTTTTTGGTTCACCTGAATCTTGTGTAGAACTCAGCTAAATAATTGATTTGTATCATAGACATTATAATGCAATTGGTATTTTAAATGTAAGCAGTACAAATTGATTTTTGATGACATGTTGGGGGAGATTTATAGATATGTACATCATGGTGACTTTGTCTTTTAACAATGGACTTTTTATTTCTATTTATGAAGAAATTATAACTACTGCTTTCAATGTCTTTTTAAAAATAGCTATTTACCAGCTAGGAAATATTCTGCATTTAAAATAGAATCTGACTGGGAAGTGTAATTACTTTTGTTCTTATTTGAGCCAGTTGTCTTTCGGTAAAGCTAGAGAATCTCTCCAGGGAGAAGTAAATTGAGACACTGCTTCTCAAGGGTCATAGGAAACTTGTCCGCTTTGCTCCTATTGATACTTTAGGACCTATAGACTGTTACTAAAAAAAAAAAAAAAAAATAGAGAAATACAATGGATTCATCAGTTTCTGTATATGGCCTCTCCCCTAATTTTCCGGGTTATTTAACTTATAAAGCACCTTGACTGAATTTCTGGAGGGAGTGGAGAAAACACGCTCCACTTCTTCTGAAGAATTGTCATGCTGTTGATGCGCTTTTTCTCTTCCTCATCTCCCTTCCTCTCTCCTTTCCCTCCTCCTCCTCCCCTTTCTACTCTCCTTCTCATCTCCCTTCTTCTTTCTTGCCTTCTCTCTAAGACAGCGATGAATTAGTGCCAACTGGCAGGAGTCAGCGTGGAGGTCCCCAGTGCCCATCCCTTCCACACATATCAGTGTTGCCCGAGTCCCCCCTGAAGCCAGGGTGGGTGAGTCGGGCAGTTCTGTCTCCCATGTCCGGCTTTGCATTTTTATTCTCAGCTACACAACATATATCTAACAATCTCATATGCCTTTTTATTTAACCAGTAGCTCTTTTATTTCATTTTTAACATGACAAGCTACAATTCTTGTTTTTACTCTGCTGTAATTCTCTGTATTTCCTATTACATATGATTGTTCAATAAATCATACTTGAGGGAAAATATTGTGAAACATTTGGTGTCTATAAAATTCAATTTGATGGGGCATTGAAAAGTTGGGGGAATCAGGGAAAATCAGGTAGATATCAGTTTTGATATGAGTTCTGTCAGAAAATGGTTTTTGCTCTATTAAAAAACAATTCATCGAACATTTATTATTGCAACTGTTATTCGTAAGCTCCTGGCTAAATGCATGTTGCAGAGAGGAATGTGGAAACCCGAATCTTAGCTCTCTAAATTTCATCTCTTATAGTGGAGATATTCATACACATAAATAACCAAAATGTCACATATAAAAGTTATCCGGTGCGAGTAAAATGCAGCTCTGGGTATTAGGAAAGGTAAAAATTGCTTCCATCTTCCAGGCTTCTAGGAAGACTCCTTAGAGTGGATTGCACATGAGTTGATACCTCCTTTACAAATCATACTGAAGCTCATACTCATTGCCTATTTTCTATGGACAGCCTCTGTGAAAACACTTAACACATATTATCTCTAATCCTCAATAATCCAGCAAAGTGGGTTATCAATATGAGCAAAGAAACCAAGTCTTGGAGAAAGAGCATAAGGCCAGGTCTCAGGTGGCGGACTCCAGCCTGGATTTGCTTCTAGGTCTCTCTGGCACCAAAAACCCCTTCTTCTTTCTACTACATCTACGTAGCATGGAGCAGAAGCACTGTGGAAAGGAAAGCTTTGTGAAGAACAAGGTGAATAAGGTAACAGCTGAGAATAATAAAGAAGCAAACGGCATCAAGTTAAGGTGAAGACCTAGAGAGTTTCAACTAATTGAATTAAGAGTAATTGGCACAGTATGTGACACCTCTCAGACTCCGGCTCCGCGGTGCCAAAGCACTCCATTAAAATATAAAAATGTATGTACTCATCAGATACATGACATTTAACTGAACTTTTTACTTCGTGTGATTCTATGATAAATTTCCACTTAATAGCAAAAAGCTTTCAAAGGCCATATTTTAATTCTGAAATACAATTTAGATATAAAATACATATTTCCTTTGGAAGCTATAAGCCTTCTGCCTTCTAATTGCTTTTCTAAATATTACAAAGCCTATCCACCATCTAATACAAGCCTTAAACAACAAAGACAATATATATTTTAGAGTCAAAAAACAAACACCTACTAATGTCCCCCATTACATACATGTGATTTCTTTGGAAGGAATCCCAAATATTTAAGATACAAATCCTTATGGACCAACATGTATATTTAAAGCTCTATTTGGGGCCATTTATCCTTTAGTAACATTAATAAATGTTTAGGTTATTTGCTTAAGATTTGTGATGTTTAGAGAGCTTCCTTTGCATCTCAGGCTGATATATTTTTTATCTCCAATAATTAAAGGTACCATTATTTAGTGTTCCTTATAGTTTAGTATAGTCTCGCTATGGCATTAACAGCATTTTCTGATATTGTCTCTTACTCCCTACGAGTACTCTCTGAGGAGTTTTATCCCCATCTGTGGGTGAGAAGTCATGGCAGAGGGTGAAATAATTTGTGTAAGGTCACACAGCTGATCAGCGGGGGAGCCGGGATTTGAAGTCTAAGAGAAGGTGAGTCCCCAAACCATGAGGCTAGACTGCTTCTGGTCACTGACGGAGGATCTGTCATGTCTTCTCCACCCACCACATCCATTACCTTCCTTTTCTCCCCTTCGTTCCATATCCGGACAGGATTGCCAGTGACCACCAGCAAGGGCCGGTGCACTTTGGTGAACCGTTGGATGTTTTACAGCAGAAAAGGTGCCTTTGATTTCTGTGGAAGGAAGAATTATTTTGCATGCCTCGTATGTGACTTTAAAAATGTGTTTTTTCAAATAACCTGCTGGGGTTCAGTCTAGACCTTTGCTACTTAGATGTGCTCCACCCCCCGCCCCGCAAACTTCTTAGAAGTGAACACTCTCAGGTCCCATCCAGACCTACTAAACTGGAATTGGCCTTTAAGAAGATAACTGGGTGATTCAGGTGCCTAGCACTGTTTGAGACAATAACTAAATATTAGGGAGATAAATCTAAACACCCACCAAGCACTCAAACATGGGTTGTTTTTCTCCACACTAGACAAGAGGCTCCAGAGTTCATGCTTTCACCATGGTACTGCTCTCAAAACGACTCCAAACCAAACCCCGGGAGATTGCCGAACAGGACGGATTCTGTGAGTTCTTCAGTTGTTGAGAACCTTGTTTCTCCTCGTCTGCACCGGGGTCGGCAAACGTTTTCTGTAGAGGATCGGGCAGCAAACACCAGCTTGGCAGGCCCCGTTTCATCGCGGTGTTTCTCTTCCTGGTGACCCCTTTCTTCCTCCTTCTCTTCCTTCCTCATCATTTTTTTCTTCTTCTTCGGTTTCTTCTTTTGTAACCCTTTAAAAATGGGCAGGTTATTCTCCGCTTGTGGGGGCGGGGGTGTCCGCGGGGCACGTTTGGCGCACGGGCCTCTGCCGGGCTTGCCCCACTGCTGCTTTTTCCCATCCAAGGAGCGCGAGACCCCGGGGTAGGAGGGTGAGGCTGCTGGCGCCCGCGGCGGTCACTCCCGGGGGCCGCCGCTTCCACGGGGCCTGGCGGCCCGCTGAGAACTGCGGACAGGAGTGTTTCCGGGCACAGCACACACAGCAGTCCCGCGGGCCTCGCCGCGCACCCGTTCCCAGCCGTCGGCTGCGTCCGCCTCACCTGGAGGGGCTGCTGAACTCCAGGTTGCTCAGGCCCCGCCCCAGGGGGCGGACTCGCTAGGTGCGCGCTCTCGCTAGGTGCGCGCTCTCGCTAGGTGCGAGGTGGGGCCCAGGGTGAGGCGGCTACTGCTGGACTGGAGCGCTCCCTCTGAGGACCACTGGCTTACAGGTGAACCTCACACTCCTGGCCGTCACACTCAAAGCCCCGCAGCCTAACCCCAGCCTGTCTTTGGGCCACAGCTTGCATTCACTTCGCCAGTCCCCGTTCCTGATTTCCCTTCTGCTCTCGCACGGGACTCCTCCTCTGCAAGGGTCTTTGCCATTTTTACCTGTCACACTCTCCCCGCCGTCCCACCTCCCCCGGCCTCAGGGTGTCTGTACATTTGCTAGCTCTCCCAGAAAGCCTTTTCGCATTTCTCTGGGCAGGAGCCTCAGACCCTCCTCTAGATGCGCACTGAACTTTCCCCTCCTTGCTCCAATACTGTAGCTCGCTCGCCATGGCATTCACTTGCTGCCAGATTATAAGGTAGGGAAGCACTGTGCCTTACACATGGTAGGTGTTCAGGAAATACTTATGGAATAAGTAAATATGAATTAATGAATGAAGGCAGTCAGGAAAAGTTTATATTTAAAGTGTTTGACATATGATTGAGTTAATTCTTTTCAGATAACAGCTCTAGTTAATTCAATCAAAATGAGACTCACTTTTCAAGCACTTTAGATCTAAGTAATTCCAAAAAGCCATTTGTGTTTTTTCTCAGAGCAGACACATGGGGAGTGCATTAATTCTTAATTAATACTTAATAGCTGCTAAAAGCAAACCTGAATTCTATGAGAGAAACATTAAGATCTCTCCATCTGTCTCTTGTCTACCCTTGGGGAGATGGGTCTGCTGGTGCAGAGGTATATTAATTGTAGCTAATCTTACCAAATTTGCTAAGGAGAAAAGCTCACATTTCCTGGGTGATTTCTTATAGCCTCGGTGATTAATAATGGGAACCATACAAGCTTTGGAGCAGGAATGACCTCAATTCACAGTATGTTTTGGTAGCTGTTGGCCTTAAGTTTCCTAACCTCTCACCATGAACACTTTGATAGAATGACGAAATAACAGTGAAGAATATTTAAGGAATCTGGACAGTACGTGACACACTGTTGGTTCTCAATTAACAGAAATTAATGTAATTATTTTATATTAATCCAGATGACATTATGTCTTGTTGAATTTTATGTGCAAGACCTGAGGCAAGAAATACCTTATCCAAGGACTGAATTTGACCCTCAATTCAATT